CTTGTGTTTTCGTAGCTATTTCCTTATTTGTAACCTCTTTGCTCAAACTACTCACATACTGCCATCTGTGTAGAGATTCGCACCTCTGTCTTACGTTTTGTTTCATTCTGTTCCTGGTCCCATTTTTATTCATTTCAGGATATTGTTTATAAACCTTCATAAATAAATGTAACACAGAAACATAGTCTTTAAAAATGTAACCCCAAAAACTTAATTGGTCTGGCAATTTAGCCTTATTTCATCTGTAGAACTACCCTTTTTCCTGAGGCCAACTTTCTCACCCCACTGCCCTTTTCATTTCTTCTGTTCATGTGATTCTGATTTTTGGTAAGCTATCTTGCCTTTGTGCACTTATGTACAGTGCGCATCCAGTTGAGCTTTATGCCATAAGCAGTATACCCTTGACATCTGGACTGTACTTACATCCCTATTCATACTTTGTATTTAAAATTTTTAAATATACACGCATATACCTATAAACACACACACAGTTACCTTAGCTTATATGCTATGAAAAGCTGCAGATTTTTGTTACAATAATAACAGATGAAATTCAAAGAATTAGTTGGCCTTAAATACTCTGCGAGATTGTTGTAAGCACAATCATACAATGCACTGACTGTATTTTTGTCTATATGAAGCTACTGTCCATGTCATAGAATCATAGAATGGTTTAGGTTGGAAGGGACTTTGAAGATCATCAAGTTCCAACTCCCCTGCCATGGGCAGGGACACCTCCCACTATATGTTGCCCAACGCCACATCCAGCCTGGCCTTGAACTCCTACAGGGACGGGGCATCCACAACTTCTCTGGGAAACCTGTTGCAGTGCCTCGCCACCCTCAAAGTGAAAAACTTCTTCCTAATGTTTAATCTAAACCTGCCCTCTTCCAGTTTAAAGCCACTCCCCCTCATCCTGTTGCTACATGCCCTAGTAAAAAGTCCTTCCCCAGCTCTCCCATAGGACCCTTTTAGATACTGGAAGGCCGCAATAAGATCTCCCCGGAGTCTTCTCTTCTCCAGGCTGAACAGCCCCAACTTTCTCAGCCTCTCCTCATAGGAGAGGAGAGGTGCTCCAGACCTCGGATCATTCTCATGGCTCTCCTCTGGACATGCTCTAGCAGGTCCATGTCCTTCTTATGTTGAGGATTCCAGAGCTGGATTCAGTACTGCAGGTGGGGGTCTCATGAGAGTGGAGTAGAGAGGCAGAATCATCTCCTTTGACCTGCTGGCCACGCTTCTTCTGATGCAGCCCAGGATACAGTTGGCCTTGTATGTCCTTTCCAAAAGATAGAATGTCTACTTTGGTAATAATCATCAGAGAAACAATGTAGGCTACTTCTGCAGAAAAATTGTTATTCCTTGAGCACAGCCATATGTTAGTTAGGTTTTGTATGTGTAAATTACATAAAACTGTATGATGTCAATATACATTCAGCAGTTACAGTTAAAAACAAGGTAGTTATTTTCAAATTGTTTAATAGAAATCTAAATTCTGAAGCCCAGGAAAAGAGTAGGGCTAAACCTACTAGAATACTAGAAAACTAAGAAGCCACATACTTGCAAATACATTCCAAATATTTATGTGCAAAACAGAAAAAAGACCTAGATATCAACATGTATTACTTCCATCAGAATCCAAATTTGTACTATGTACATGGGATAACTCTTCCTGCCAAATAAGAGCATATGAAATTATACATGCAACTAAACTACAGTGTTGGTAAGGGTGAACAGGCTTGTCTTCAGGTGACCAAACTCTCCTGGAGTGTTCACAGCTTGCTGTGCTGCTTTTCCAGCAGATGTCAGGATGACTGACATCCCCCAGTTGGATCAGAGACTGCAGGCGTGATGCTTCCTGTAGTTGAAGTAAGAACACTTCATCAAGAGGCTCCCCTTGATCGGGTAGCTAGTAATAAACACCAACCATGATGTTTCCTTCATTGGCTTGGCCAATGAGCAATTTCACCCATGAGCTCTCGACGTGATCACCTCTGTTTTTCAAAGACAGCTCTGTGCAATCAGTCCATAGAGGGCAAATCGCCCACCCCTCCTTCCTTGCCTGTCCCTCCTGAACAGTTTGTAGCCATTGATTGCAGCACTCCAGTCATGTGATTCATCCCACCAGGTTTCAGTGACAGTGATTAGATCACAGCTTTCCAGCTGCGGAGTCACTTCTGACTTCTTCTGTTTGTTACCTATGCCAAGTGCATCAGTGTAGAGACATTTCTGTTGGCTATTTGACTGTGTCACCTTATTAGAGGAAAAAGCCCAAATTTCTTTGAGGCATTTCACAGCTGTTTCCCTGTTTGTTCCTAATACATCAGCAGCCCCTGACTCTTCTTCGTTACTCAAGACTACATCCCCTTCCCTCTCTAAGTCAAGTTGCTTCCAGCTTTGAAGATAAAAATATTCTTCAAGGTCCTCCAGAAAGACTGCAGATACAGCACGACACTTAGTGTTCCAGTCTCCCCTTTCTTATAAGACTTTCAGTCTGGAGTTTCTCTCTGTAGAGATTTTACACTGATATCTTACCCACGTGGATCAAATTTTCAGTAAAGTCTATTCAGCTGGGAGGGCAAATTTTTCCTCAATAGGAAGGGGCTGGGATTTCTGCAAACTCTTAGTCTTTCCTTCTCAGTATGCTTAGGAAAAATGTAAAAGTATCCAGAACTCCTCTGGATACATCAGGGATCCACCACATATTTCTGTTCAAGAATTAACTACTAAAATAAATACTTTGATTGCTGATGTTATCCAAGCAAACTAGCTTACAAGGAACTCATAAGCTGTATAGCTTCTGAATGCAGCAGCTTAGATAATGACATTAGATAATAACATTATCAACTTAGATAATAACATTAGATAATGACTCATGGTGAAGAAAATAAAAAATAAAGCTGAGAGAAGACATAAGCTTGTCCTTGAATATTGTTCTCTCATGCTTGTCGGGGAAACCTGGGGTAGTTCTCCATGCTTCAGGTTTGACAAATTCTAGTCTTCCCTAAAAATGTATCAGAATGGCAGCAGTCTTTAGTATGAAAAAAATTCTGTATTTTTCTAAGGGTTAAATCTTTCATGGAAACAGGCAGTGTTTTCTTAAATATTATGATTTGTTGCTTGTGCCCTTCTCTAACATTCTGTCTGCTTAGCACCCATGGAAGAATCTGATGTTCATGCAGCCTCCAAAGGGCTGTAAGGGAGTTTGGGGGTGTTGTTTATCTTCATTTTTATAGTGGGGCTGCTCTTCAGATTCCTTGTTAATGAACTTGCTTGTGACATCATGGACATATTCAGTAAGGTTTTGTTCGAGAGAATGAAAGTGTTATATTTTATACAACTAATGACTTTTGGGTGTTTTTGGCAAAGATTATGACAGGGGTTACTTTGTCTTCCCTTATCACGCTGTCCTTCTAGGCCAGTTGCTCTTTTGAGTAGCCATTGTCAAACAGTTCAGAAGTTCTTCAGACAGTTTGCCTATGGACTTACAAGAAAATTTCTCCTAAGTGTTGGTATTCCAGCTGTTTAAGTTTCTAAATTTCTATAACCCGTGGTTATTTTTTTCTTCCAGGATTGTACTCGAAAGAACATTTTCTGGCCCATTCTTAAGTTCAAGGAAAATGTTCTATTATCTCAGGTTTCTAGATTTTCCAGCTTCCTACTTCTAACTCCAAACTCTCAAAGAGTCTTCCTTGTCTTCTGATTCAAAGCCAGTTACTTCTTTCAGATAAATACTATTTCCAGAGAAGTTTGGAACTACTCTGTTAATTATTGTATTAGACTAGTTTAAGCTCAAATTCACTTCCATGACATTTCTAGATTACTTTTGCACAGAACACATAAATGAATTCTTTTTCTTTTAATGTTGGAATTCTTTGGGCTATGATCAAGTTCTCTTCTGAAGCCTTCTCTCATTTCTCTGGACTTTCTACTTGTTTCAGACATTTCTCCTGTAAGTGTTAATGCTGCAACAAGTACTCAGTGTTTCTCCTCTTTCATATCTATCGTAGGCTACTAAGTGTTTTTCTCTTCCTGACTGAGGAACCAGTGCCAATGGTTTCGTTTCACAGGTCCAAATTTCCAAGTGAGCTGAAACAGAAAGTTAGTGTTTCTTTGTGTGTAAACCAAACTGCTGCTGTGAAACAACTGATGATTTGGTGTTGTGTGTGGTGTATGACTAATTCTTCCAACTGTAAATTTAATTTAAGGGGAAGAGGGCTGTTCCAAATTGTAGTTTCATCTTCATTTGACTGTCACCAGTTACCTAATTGGAATTTGGCTGTATTTAAGATGACTCCAACTAGAGATTGTGCAAGGCTCCATCTGTAGTGATAGAGTGCAGGTGGCACATTGGGAACAGGAGGGGAGGAAATAAGAGAAGTTGCTGATCAGTCATTTTCTTTACTACTTGTTTATACACTAGAAGAAACCGCGTTAGCCTAGATAGTCAAATATTTCATTGTAAGAAAAAAAGCATTTTCAAGAGCTCAGTCTTCATGTGCAGAAATAATTTTTGCCTGTAGATACAGTAATATACTTTTCTAAGATACATGGCAATTGACTTTTTCTTTGTTTTTGACAGGAAAAAGTGGCCCAGAATGCAAGCACTGTAGGGCTGATCCAGATAAGGAGTGCCGTTTCTGTTCGTGTTATTTGTGTGGTGGAAAACAGGATGCTCACATGCAACTCCTTTGTGATGAATGTAATATGGCTTATCATATATACTGCCTGAACCCTCCCTTAAGCAAGATACCAGAAGATGAGGACTGGTAAATATACAAGGATGATTTACTTATCTATATTGCCATTCTATACACGGTACCTTTTTGTTATTTGCACCTCGTGAAAAACAACGGTGAAGATTTTTTTTAATTCTGCTGTGGTTTTCATCCATCTACTTAATATAAACCTTATGTTTTCTGTCAAGGTAATTCTTTTAAATCCGTTCACAAAGGATTAGTAGTAAGCTTTAATGACCATTGTGGAGTTTCAAAACTGGTACATTCGTTTTATTCATTACGATCTTCTATGACATTATCTGATCTGATTGTGTTTATCAACAGTGGTTGTTCCCCAGCCTTTTAATTTTGTTCAAGTTTCTCTGCTTGAACTACTCTCTTACAAATTCATCTTTTGTCCCTGTTGCTGCCCCTGTGCCCTTCCTGTATCTTCTTGTTGCCTCTACTGCATTCATTTCTCCTTCTGTGGGAGGACCACCAGCTTGCTACTCTTCATTATTAGTGTCCCTGGTTCTGCCAGCAGGAAAACCAAGCTAACTGGTTGTTAAATCAAGATAATTGTATTTTGAAGTGAGTCTGCATGGACCCATTAGCAGCCCATTGAGTTATCTTAGGATCTGTACCATTTTTGGTCTTTGTTAGCGATCTACAATTTACACAGTTTGTATTTATCACCTGCCTGTGACTTACATAAGACCTAATCCTTTATAAATGAGTAATAAGTAGAATTTTATTCTAATAAAGTTTTACATTACATAGACATTAATAAATGTCTAAGATGTCTGTGCATACATTTAATGGAATCTCTTTGGACCTTGTGATTAAATTTTATGTAAAAATCTGTCTAAATGCTTCTGAAGTTTTAACGTTCTCTGGAAATAAATAACTCAATCTCCTATACAATAGTGGATGCCATAATAGGTTTGTTTACTGGTCAGTCCCTAATGGTCTGCGTGTTTTCTGGAGCATTGCATTTTTTCTGAACTCCTCCTGTGTTTATACCAATGTGTGATTTCACAATTGAGACCATTAACATTGATAGGTGTTTCTCAGTCTGTACATTTGGCCACAGGGTACTGTTGTTGGAAGGTGATCTTTTTCCTATGAAGTTTCTGCACTGGGAAGAGTTGTATTCACTGATTTTGGAGCAACTGCGGGCTTGAAACAGTATCTAAAAAATATTTTCATTACCTACTAGAAATACGTATGGATAATTGGAACTAAAAATAGCATTTTTTTTAATATTGTCTATGTGCCTTCCACTTCTTGCATATGCAAAATGATTACATTGTTTATTCCACACTGTTTATTACACAGCATGTTAGTCTGAACTATCCCCAAGATCCCCAAGTTTTCTACTGTCAAGGCAGACTGGTCTTCTGTGCATGACATCTTCTTGCTTCCTACTGCTTGTCAATATAAGTGAGTTGATGTCACTTGTTGGGAATCGTTCTCAACACGCAAGTGGTTTATTACGGACTGCAATCCATAAGCAGTATTATTACCTGATTGCACCTGACCTTTGGATATAGCAGCTGAGAAGTTCTTTTTGACTTCATTCAGAATATTCAGTGAGATCATCTGTCTGGAAGTACATATCTGTTCTGTCCATCCATTCTTCAGTTGCCTGTTACTCTCAGATCAGTTCTAATCCAGTGCTCCAGCAACAGTAGAGTCCATTTATTTTCCAGTACTAGTCACAGGAAGGGTTCTGATAAAGAAAATATATATGCTTCATGTCAGTGACCCCCTCCCACAAAACCCCCAAATCCTTCGTTCTACCCTGAAAGCAATTTATTCTTTATAGTTTCCTCTACACCCTCAAATACACAGAAGATTTGATAGGCACGTCAGGATAGTGATACTGAAATCTAATCAGCCATCAATGTCTCTATGGTTTAGCTAGTGTGCTAAGATGATTTTGGCTTGCGGCCTGCTTCAAATGATTTTTCAGATTAGGTTTTAGTGTTCTAGTCTTCTTTGGCACCCATTGTTTCAAAAGCTTCTTATGAAACATGAGTTATCCTGCTTCTATTTCAGAGGGCTACAGAGAAAATTTGACGCTTTTTTTTGAAAGTGTAGCTGTTACTGCTTGCATCTCCCTACCCTCTTCCATTAATATCACTGTAACTACACTGTATAGGTCCCCAGGACTGTTTTTCTCCATACAGAAGATTCGGTGTTCTGTAGACAAGCACACAAGAACTAAATTGACTGAAAACATGGTCTTTAGAGTCCCTCAGGTCATATGTTAAGTGTTCTTTTAGACCCTTCTGCTTACATTTCAGCCCGAAAAATTATGTATTTCCATAAGTAGTAGAAGTTTGATTCATGTAATTAAAGTGTCTTGAAAAATGGCTGTCAAGCTTTTTAACTTGTGTTTGTTTGCTGTGTAATGATAGGGGCCTTAAGATTTATTCATGTAAGTAAACAGCTGCATCTGTGGATGAAGTCACTGGGTGGGAGAGGTATTGTTATGGAGCTGGCTTGTGACAGTTAATTTTGGGATGGTGGTGCCAGGCCTGTGCAGTCTTAATGCTTGGTCGTATATAGAAGGAGTGCAGTTGTGCTGGGCAAAGCAGTGTCTCCCACGAGTGAGGAGGTCTGTGGTCTCCCTTCTTCTTGCATACTAGCAAAGAGTCATGGCTCTCTGATCCTTAACTTCCTGAGAGATTTCGTTTGTTTTAGAAGTGGAAAAATTTCAATTTAGTATTTGTATAGTATAAAATTTGACAAACTCTGCAGGGGCTAAGCTTGCAGTTTGAGAAAGGATCATAAGTTTCTCTTGGAGAGATTAAGCCACTTTATATGCGAACAGTATTTACTATTCCATACAAAACTCAGTTTGAAAAATATTGAGGTGATATGGTTACCCTATCAAGAAGCAGGGAATGCCATGGTTAATTCACCTTTTGAATTTGCATTACGTCATGTTCCTTCTTTTAATTGGTCACTGCATACTCTTTTAAACAACTGTAATATCATTCAAAGTCTTGGTGTTACACAATTTCAGCGTCTTGTGTTATTTTTAATTTCTTTTTATTTACATAGCTTCATTGTCTTAACGGTTCAACACCTTTATTGCCATAGTGAAATTTGTTCCTGTGGACATTAATCATTAATTCTTCTATTCATATCCACATACAAAAGTTAATAAATCCAAAACAGTGGTAGTAGTAGTGGTAGTTATGTAAACTAGGTTATCAATGTTAACGTAGATCAGGCTTCCTCCTGTAGTGGCGTATGGGCCAAACCCAGACCATGTCAGCCAGAAACATGGACAATTGCCTTCTCATTGGCATTCCTGGAGTGGGATGAAAATGTTATTAGAAGCAGCAGAAGTACCAGTGTACTTCTGGTACCCCTTTCTCTCTCTGCTGTAGTCACTGCATCCTAGCATCTCCTACTTTCCTACTAAAGTGGCTTTGTGTTAGCTGGAATGACTCTCAGTGCTGTATTCCAAATGGCTTCAGTGTTGAGGAGCGAGTGTGTGCATGCATGTCTGTGTGTGTCTACGCACATTACATGGTAGCTTGGCTTTGTTTGACATTCAGCTGTCTGCAGTGAAATTTATTGCGCTGGAAGTGAAAAATAAGGGTAGAGTGGGCAGGATGTAGAAATAAACTATGAGTACTGGTTAGCAGCGTAGTCTAATCTCAGCTGTCTTCTCCTTTACATGATCTAAATGAAAGAGAACAGAATGAAGAGAGAATACAGGAGACATGGGGACCTCTCACATATCATGTGAGAAAGAATAGTTAAATGTTTTGCCTCTAGCACTCTACCGTCAAAGATATCGAAATGCCCTTTTAAAAAAGTTGACAGTATTTGTTCATGTTGGGTTCACTTTTTAAGCCATAGGCTTCAGCTGCTTAAGACTGGTATGTGCTTGCTAGCTTGAAATATTCAGTCAAGATAAACAAATTGACACTATTTTGGCTACAAGAAATGTATTGCCATTATGATGAAGTAATTGAGAATTTACTAAAACCTTTTTTTAGGTATTGTCCTTCCTGCAAAAATGATTCTAATGAAGTTGTAAAGGCTGGAGAAAAGCTCAAACAGAGTAAAAAGAAAGCAAAGATGCCATCTGCCAGTACTGAAAGCCAGAGAGACTGGGGCAAGGTAGAGTGTATTTTAGAAATAGCTGTTACTCTGATTGTTCATGTATGTGCTAAATCTATAATTCTACTTAATAGGCACAACACAAAATTCAGTACTGGGTTGCACAGACAATAAGACAATGTTTAATCCTGCCCACTATCTACTGGCAGTTAAAGCAGTGGAAGAATTACTAAGGTGACTAGAAGTAAAAACAAAGACAAACAACCCCTGATCCCTCCCCCAAACCTATAAATATGTATTACTTGGTTAACATCCCTTTTAACAATTGTTAACATATTTTTAAAGTATGTGTTTGTTATAATGATCAGATTTCATGATATCTGCATTGAATTTGCAAATAGTCTTCAATATGATAATGCTAATTCATTTTGTCTGATATATTTTTAGGGCATGGCCTGTGTTGGTCGCACTAAGGAATGCACTATTGTTCCTTCAAATCATTATGGACCTATACCTGGTGTTCCTGTTGGGACAACCTGGAAATTCAGAGTTCAGGTATGTTGTTTCGGTATTAGCTGTAGTTAAAGTAAGTAAGAATAATAATGAATGGCTTGGGCACTAAATTAAATGTGGATTGACAATTGCCATTTTCACCAGGACTAAACAAAGCAGATACATTATTATTGTAATATTGGAAGTAATGCCAATAGTAGTGAAGGTTGAAGTGCACTGATTTTGCAATTCACCTTAAGAATTCTGTTGTCATTAGGATAAATAAATTTTGTATGTTAAAATTCTAAGTGGGATACTTAGTGCATGGAGTCAAGTGTTTTCTGAAGTGTACTTCACATGGACTGATTATCCCGCTTAGGAGGTGGAGAATGTAGATTTTTAAAACGTTGGATGATACCAGTGTTGGGTTTTTTTGGTCATACATAATGAATGTCCAAATCTTCTTATAGGCTGTTGAACAACTTAAACCAGTGTAAGCTTGTACTGCTGCTGAAATTAGCTGTCTATTCAGATGTTGGTGTTTCTTGCACTGTCTCATTTTCTATTCCAAGTATTTCTTAGGCTCTATGGTAAACTAGATTGGTAAAAAAACTGGCAGGAAAATAATCCCATCTGGGGTAGGAAGGGAGCTAATTTTCCCAGTCCATTTCACATTTTGGTTATATAAGCACAGTGCCAATACTCAGGGGCAGGAAAAAACAAAGCAGGGAGGATGGGACAGCTTCATTTTGTGCCAGTACAGATTTTCTGTAGTTTCAAACTGTCCAGCAAACTGCAAATTTACTTCCTTTTTCCCCAGCCTTATCTGATAGCACTGGGTTTTGCTTTATCTTTGAATTTTTACTGTTGTTTTTAGTCAGGGAAATATGCAATTCCCTATTTTCAAAATTAGTTAGTTCTTTGTCTCTTACATGTGTAAAGGATTGTATTTGAATGTTGTCCGTCATATTTGGAAGAATAGAAACAGGGTTTTTTTAAATTGCTTGAGGAGGGTCAAGCCAAGAATCAAAAGCCTTTTCTGATTTATTTTCTGAACTTTTCATCACTTGCTTTCTCGTGAGAAGGAAACAGATGTTTTATTATTGAATTAGTAGAAGAGAACACTTAGCAGGCAGTTTTGCTCTAATGGTCGTGTCTTCCAGTACTGTGTGAAGAATTCTGGAATTTGGAAGTCCATGCAAGTTTTAAGGCTGATGTGGTTAGCAGCAGGCATTTTCCCCTTAGCAACAGTTTTCGGTTTGTCTCCTTGGCAGAAATAAGGGTGAAACAGTTGAAATCTAAACTCATTCTTTTGGTCCTTTCTCACCTTGATGTCCATTGTCAACACTATCATCGATACAAGCCCTAGATGAAGCAAATTAAATTTGTGCGGTAAGATTATGCTGCTCATCATACCAGCTATTTTATACAAAATGGCTTGCTTAACAGGAAAATTCAATTTTGATTCTTTGGGATATTTCATTGACCTCTCCTGTGTTTGAAGAACCTTTTTTGTGAAAGGAATTAAAATAAATAGCTATCTCTTTGTTGGCTTCCAGATTAAGTAAAGTCTCATAAGTAGGAGGAGTTTCTAAAATCACTTATGCAAACTCAAAATCGTTTTATTTTCACTGCTTCAACAATAATTGAAATTATTAGTTCACCTTTTTGTTATGAATTGCGTTGGTAATGCAAAAGCTAATAGTTTTCAGATCTTTTTAGTGCTGGTAGGAAAAAGGAACAGAATTAGAGTGCTGCTTTTGTCAGAAAATTAAGCAGAGAATGCTAATCTATATATATATGTGGACTAGACATCAAAAGGCAATTACCATTTCTACATAATTATTTAGTTTTGGGTACAAATGAAATACTTCATCTTTTTTTTTTTAAGATTGAAATGTTTTCTATGTAGGAAGTTAATTACACTTTTGTTTCTCATATGACTGGTGTTACATATGAGAAATGAGCTTGTCTCAGCACATCTATGAGAATTTAGAGGCTGTAGTTTCTTTATTCCTGATTCTCGTAGTTTTTTATGACACAAACTCTCTTTTCCCTAGAAGGAAATTGACTAAGTATTGCTTCTGGAGAGAGCATCTGAAGAACATCTTTGGCATGAATTACTTACCAAAGTTCATCTTTGGGGTGAATCACCTACCAGAAACCTAAATTTTATTGATAAAACCTGGAAGTGAAAGAAGGGAGGGAGGAATGAATGAAAGGATATTTCATACAGCAGGAAAGAGAAGCGCAATAGTGGGGCCTTTTTATTCAGCATACTCAGAAATGGAAAAATTGTCAAATAGCTGATGAAGTTAGGTGAGACTGCTAAGTTGTGGATAGTAAATGTGGGGTGGGTAACAGTTCTAACTATATAATTTGTAATTGGCTTTCAGGTACTTATTATTTAGGGAAGACATCTTCTAACAGCTAATTTTGAAAATTTGTCATCTTAATAACCAATAGTGATAAAAAAAATAAATCATACGCTAAGTTATTGTGAAAGAAAGGGTCAGGAAAATGAAATATATTATTATGAAGAACAATCAGAATGATTAAAGGAATGAGATGGTTTTCATTCAACTGGAAAGACTTTTCAGTCTGGAAGAATGTTGAAAACGTGGTGCAGTGTAGATGGTTGCAAAATGATGTACAGTATGACAAAAGTGATCAGGGACCAATATACATACTTTTGTAATGCTAAAAGGGGACATAAAAAAAAAAATCTCAGCTACCCACTTCAAAATGAACAAAAGTAGTATTAGTTCATATGACAAGTGGTACTACTGTGAATGCTTTTTTCTCTTTGATCCTATGGATCCAAAAGATTTAAGTAGTTTAGGAAGTCTGAGTCACAGACAGCTGGACCCCGAGAAATTGTGCAAGGAAGTATCATTGCGTCCTTGCATAGTTTTCATATGTGCACAGCTCTCGTCTGTTGTTAGAGACAGCATTTTTGGCCAGCTGGACCTTTGATGTGATGGTTTGTATTATGAAAGTACAAGATTGTAGCAGAAGCATGTAAAATTTCATGGAAGTTTCTTAAAAGTGTAGGTTGGGAAAAGGAGTTCAGGGGTGGGAGAGGCAGAATGAGGAAAACAGGCCAAGTCAAAGTCTGAAGGAAGATACAAAGGTAGGAAAAAGGATCCTAATTGGTTTTCTGCTGGGAACCTTCATTCTAGCAATAGTATTTTTGGCATCACATACTGAGAAAATACATAATTTAATATGTAGCCTCTTTTTTATTCAGAAAGGGTTGTGGGTTTTTTAAATATAATTCAGTAGTTTGAAAAAATTATTAAATAAATTTTTGTGAGAGAGATGGTCCAGCAGACTTTAATGATGTTGCCAGTTTATGGTACAGCTGCAGCTCTCAGGTGATCTGGTTGCAGCTTGGTTGCACATTCATTAGCAGAGAGTTATCCTGGTTGGAGAACTAGCTTATGATCCGTATGCTGTTGCAATGGCTTCTTCTGTTTCCATAGTTAGTGAGGCAATATACCTCTGAGTTGGTCACATTTACAGTGTGTTACCTTAATAGTACCTGACATAATAGTCTTTACATGGGTCACTGTGATCTTCCTTAGTTAAGAATTGTAAAACGTTACCAAACCAGCAGATCTCCATCTGCTTTGGATTGTTGTAAATGACTGTGCAAGTGGAGCATAGCAATGAGTACAGTCTTAAATACTGCTCATGGAAAGAATCGTGGAGATTTTTCCCAAAGAAGAAAGTGTGCCTTTATGTCTTCCAGCGTCACCACTGTTCTACATTGTCCTTCCATTTTTTGGGTGTCTTTACTTTTGGCTTTTCTTCCTTAAAAACAAGTGGAATTCTTACCTTTAATGGCAGTCTTACATTAACTATTTACACAGACACTCCTGTACAATATTTTAAGCAGAAAATTGACTGTTAAAAGTGATTGTAGATGGCTGGTTGTTTGAAAAAAAATGCTAGAAACTGGCTTTTTTCTGTTACCAGGTGAGTGAAGCAGGTGTTCACAGACCACATGTGGGTGGAATCCATGGACGCAGTAATGATGGAGCTTACTCACTTGTATTAGCTGGAGGATTTGAAGATGAAGTGGTATGTCATTTATGCAAGCAATAGTTTTGCTGTTGTAATGTGTCAATGTTTGTAAAGATAGAGTTACATCCTGAAACTAATGCTTATGTAAATATGACTGTGAAAAAAATAACTACTACTGATAACAATCTGAATAGTTTTTAGTATTTTGGGGAGAAATATGTAAGCAAACCTTTCTTCAAGAATGGTTATGCTCATACTTATTGTTAAGCAAAATATCTCAAATACAGTTGAATTTTACATTGTGTAGTCTGGTTGAATTTCAGTATACTTTCGGAGTCTGAATTTAGTATTATTTAAAATCTGATTGTGTAATTATATGCAAATAGTATGTTTTATGTTCTGCTTTGGTCACGATTTTTATTGCTTTCAAGACAAATAGATGCCCCATCCCTTGGGTTTGTTGTATTTCTAAATATGTGATACCTTTGCTTTAACGAAGGAAGAATAAAAGGTACATGCTACTTGATTCTATGAATTTTTGAGGGTTCTTGACTCCTACTGAGGAGCACTTCCAGAGCTTCTTAAGAAAGTCTCAATATCATATATTATGATCCCTAAACGCGCTGGAAAAAAATTCTACTTTCATGCTAACATCTAAGTAGAGCAACGAAAGAAATCACGCTACTGAACTAAACAGTAACTCTGTCCAGCTTTCATCTCATGATATTGACCAACATTTGTTTATGAATAGATTACTGTTCTCTGTAATTAAATAACGTTTACACAGGGTACATCGCTTCCTGCAGTTCTGCTCCATCAGATGGAATTTTGAATCATGCATCAGGTGAAGGATAAAGCAGTAAGCAATCCAGTTTCTTAAAACATGCATAGCTGTTAATGACAATGAAAAAGACACTGGAGAAAGAAACAAGCGTCTGAAATAGCATCATAATGTAATTTATTCTTTGCCAACAGCACCTACCAGCTGCTGCTGCAGAGTATTGCCTCTGAAGGAGTCTGTCTTTTTTTAACAATTCACATGAGGAGGTACTTGGTGTTGAGATGCACTACTACACCAAGTACCTTAGAGTCAACCCCAACCCAAGCTCTAGAACCCTTAGCCAGTGGATCCTAGGAATACTATTGCTCAGTAGTTGTACCTGCTATGTTAGGATGCTGCAGACTCCTTTTTTTTTTCAGTGGTGGTGGTGATACTGATGTCCCCTTGTTTCTGCTGCTGTAATTATTCAATTGAAAATATTTAATAAACTTAATTGGATCCTTTGCATGTCTTTTACAGTTCACCTAGTTGATGTTGTGATCATGTGTTCTTGTGAACACCTAAGTACTGTCATAGTCTAGAAGACATGTATAATTTTGAAGAGGCATAGCTGGGCAGCCGTATTGCAGAAGATAGCATACATTTGTATGAATGTCAGCTTTTTTGCAATTCTCTAAAGTAAGAATGCAAGGGGCACATATTTTTTTTCCAGGTGCATTTTTGGAGTTAGTTTTTTTTAATATACCAGATTTTATTTCCCAATTTACTACCATTTTTCCCTGTTTTTTGGAAAAGGTTGAAATTAAACTCCTATAAGAATATCCTCAGAAAAATAAAATTCTGTACTTGTAAGTGTCCTAAGAACAGTATGTCATTCCAGGACTGAAGCTGTCATTCCTTTAGTTGCCAGCCCAGCCTAAACCATAACAAACTTTTAAATAAAAATTCAGTTAAAATCCTCTGCTCAGATCTCGTCACTTTATTATATGAGAACAAGAGAAGAGAGGTGACTTACTTGAATTTCAGTGGTGTGACGTAGGTACTTACGTGCAAGTTTTTACAAAATTGAGAAATAAATACATTTTGAAAAACTGGTTTACTGTAGGTTTATAAACTTTATGCACTATTTATGCACACTGTTGACATGTGCCATCTTAACACGCTTCTCATGGCTTTAAATTAACAGTTCACTATTGGAGTAAAACAAATAATTGCAAAAATATGTTGCAGGAAATAGAATTCACTACCTAGCTTTCAGATCATGCCATTTTTATGCTGTGCCTTTGGAAACTTACAGTCTTGCAGACCCAGATTTGTCTGCAGCTTTGCTGAAGTTTTGATGTTCTGGATGTGTTGGAGTGCTCAGTAACAAGTTCGGTCAGTACAAGATCTGCCCTTAAGACTGAGAAAGGAGTACAGTCATAGTTTACAAAATGAGCATTGGGTGAAATGGTTTTGTACACGAAGTTTAATCTCATTCTTAATTACATGCATATAAAATGTTTGTGCATTAATCTCTCTCTTGTAAATGTCTAACTTTGAATTTTAGTGACAAGCTACATGGTTTAGCTATTTAAGATACAGTATTACAATAGTTAGCTTTAGAGTCTCGAATGCATTAATTGCTGATCTCCTGGCCTTGTTCTTGATAATAACCATAATGGGAACATTAGCTGAAGAAATTGAGAGGTCTTCCAGGAATTTAAATCTAAGAATTATTTCAGAAGAAACTGAAGTTTAAAAACCTAGGTATTGGACATTAACAGTAATTGTGCAATCACAGTGTTCACGATAAAAGTGCTTTGATTTGTCTGTTCATCCAATCAAGTAGCTGAAGAAATTTCACTTTTGGGTTAAAAAATTGCCCTTCTATTTTGTGGTCAGTTTTATGTATCAGGGTTAAAACTGCTATTTATTTTCAAAAGTTTGAAGATCCATATTTTTGCTGGGTTGAGGTAGTGTTGTAAAGATGGTAAATTAATTGTGTGGTGTGCTTAGTGTAATCCGAACAAAGATTGTTTCTTAAGTGCTTTTTCGTATAGGATCATACAGGAAATCTCTGAACATTTCCCAGTTTCAAATTCAGAATCTCTTGGAGAATAATAACTTCTGTGATTGTTCGCATCCTCTTGTAAAAGATTCTGAGAGTATAAAAGAGAATAGCATCTCTAAGGACTCAAAAGGGACCCCAGGCAAATACACTCATTGCTTAGGTTCGTTGGTCATTTTGTACCGAACCCATTCAGTGCCTGGAACATAGCATTCACAAACCACTTCATGAAGTGGCTTGCTGTCCATTTTAAATATTCTGTGTCTTTCCATTTGTGGAGTCAGTTCCAAGGTGTCAGTAAACTCTTATTCCACTTGTTTGAAATAGCCCAATTGCAAATAAACAGTCTCTAGGTCACTAAATTTGCCCGAGCCCGGTGATGAGGATATAGACTTTCAGAAACTCTGCTTAGTTTGCATTGCATGGTGAAAGCACTTGATCAGTTCCACCAGTGCCAAAGGTGCAGAGCCAGTACTGTAGTGAATGGCATACTTAAATGGCTTTAAATCCAAATCAAGTAGATTTTGACTTATGTCTGAGTCAGTGTTTTATATCCAAAGACCATTGTGACTAGCAGTTTACCTAGATATGTGCGTATGACCTGCTGCTTTATTAGGCAGTTTGCTGGGTTTATCTTTGTAAGCTGAATCCAGTGTGAGCCCTGGTACAAAAGAGATGTAGTACCCTATATAAATTTTCTGAATTATCATGCCATGCTGACTACGTTGCCAAGGGAACGGTTCCTTTCGGATTTTCCCACCTCTGTTTTGTAGTACTGAGAATACAACATAACAAGTTCATGATAGCCATTACACTGAGTCTCTCTATTGTGAGTCACCTGGACTGAGTATGTACCTGAAAACCTGATGCTTGATGCCGTCAAACTTGCTGTTTGCAAAAGCTATCACGTTTCCAAGTTCCCTACTAGTTTGGGACCTGCTTGGAGCTCCAATGTAATGTGAAAAAAAATTCAGTGGCTCACTATACAATAGCTCCCAAATATCTACCTTGTCACTCAGATGTGTTATTTGTCCACTGTTGTTACCTCCAATACTAAGGACATACTTGACATCATTTGTAGGGCAGCAGCTTTAATACTTACTTCTCCCAGTGTCTCAGATTTGCAGGACAGCTTCTGTTCCGCAACAGTCTCCTGTCCGTCTTTTCTGTTATGCCATATTCTTAGCTATCAGTCCATACAAAACGCTAATTAATACTAAAAACTACCTTTTGTTCATTATTTTCTGAGCTTCATTGTCTCCTCTGTACCTGCATTATATTCAGAGTTACGTTCATATTCTGAAAAGCCTTATTTTGTTACACAGATGCTTTTTATAATTTTTTACTGCTAGTACTACATTGTCAAAGTAGTCTTATCTGCCTGTTTGTCAGCTTCTTTCATAAAGAGGTGTGGAATCTGTGTCTATGCTCCTCCTATCTGGTTGCTACTAAAGCATTGAGGAACCCATTTGACACAACGATAGAGCACATTGAAAAGTAGAAAATAATGTTGTCATTGCTTAGGAAAGCACCATTTAGCTCTTTTTCTTATTTCTTGCTTTCCAAGAAACATTGTCTGGAATAGTGCCTTAGGTCAAGGACACAGGACTTGGTTTCTGTTTGTGAATGCCTAACACACTGAGATTCGTTCTGAAATGCATACATTTTCAAGAGAGATTAGTCATAGTAGTGCAATATATTGACTATAATAAATCTATTCCCTTCATAAAATTTTGAAGGATCAGCATAACTACTAATCTTTGTTGTGTCAAACCATGAGTTTCTTGCTGGACTTCATAGATTTTTCACATGAATACTAATAAGAATTAATTCTTATGATATTAAGCATTTATTTAAATACTGGAAATAAAAGAAAAATGAAAATAACAAATTCTTATTATATGTATAGAGATAAATGAATGTCAAGTAGTAAATGCGTGTCTTTTAGACAGGCAAGATTTTCCTTGCCTTGCGTTAACTAGGATTATAGTAGGTTAATTAAATTACTCATACAGTTTGCAGGAATTTTTGTCCTCAGAAAAACAATTGGTCAGCGATCTCCAGCAGATGGTGAAAGATAATTGTAATTAAAAAATGTTGTCTCAAAAACCTGTTGTGTCTGCTGAGTAATCTCCCACTACAGAAAAGGGATTTTTGACCTGAAAATGCTTTCTGTGTGTTGTCTCTTTGGTGAACCTGTTTAGAAGTCAGAACTGATTTTGAATGGAGCAGAAGGTAATGAATCCAGATTAGGAAACCTGAATTGTTTGCATATTGATGTTTAGTTTAAAGGTCTGTAAATCCACCATTTTGGCGCTGAACATTGAAAGGAATAAGAAAAACCTCAGAAAGTGGTGCACATGCAGTGGTTGTCTAGTACTTTTGTTTGGGAGTTAGTTTTCAAAATGTCGACTGACTTCCATCACCAGTTAGCCACCTTCTTCTGTTTCCTGCTTTGAAGCTGTCTTACTTATTGTTCAGGGATCCAGGCTGGCTAATGCGAAAATGGTTAAATGTTTTCATTGTGGTAAAATACACCATGATACTGTCACATTCTTGCTGTCAGGGGTGCTTGCAGGGAAGACTCAGGAACACCAATTATGATGTACTCAAACTCTGCACTTAATGCAAGGGTTTTTTATTGATTTATAAATTAAATATGTAATTTAATCCTTCCTTTTTAATTGGCACCTTTTACTGCAGTGGTAAGACATGAAATTATCAAAAATAAATCAGACAATTGGGCAGATGGAACAATTTTGTCAGCACTTGTATGCATACAGACCTGTGAGATTTTAATGGAGATGAATGATGACATGATTCAGTTTCAGGTATCTCTACTACCAGGGAAAGAAAATCCTTTCAAATGTAATTGTCTGGTAGTTAATATTTGTCTTGAATTTAACAACTTCATTTAAAAAGGCGTTGTGCTTTTTTATTTTGCTTTGTCATATTAATCAACATCTTAGCCTCACATTTTATTGAAGTGAAAGTGATGAATAGAGGTGCTGATGAACTGATGAAATTTTAGGGCTTCTTGTATCAAAAAATCCAATAAGTCTTGGGTTTTTTGTTCAGCCTGAAGGTTTTAATCTAGAAAATCTGTTTGTGTTTGTAATAGCATATTTTACTGATACACGCAAATTTTCTGCCTATGTTGGGACCAGACTTTGAAATCTGAGCATAATACCGGAGGTGTTAATGGAAAGAGAAAATAATCGAGAGCTATCTTGAGATAGCTGATATTCCAGCAACTTGAAGTAGCTAATGCCCCTGTCAGTTGCTGTGGAAAAGCAACCCATAGAAATAGTATGGTTGAACGCTTAGGTGGAATTCAAAATCTTGTGGTTTTCATTCTCCATTATCTCATTGTTAGACTTATAACTGATTACGTAACAACACTGAAATAGTGGACTATGATTTAATACAACTGACTATTATATTGTATGTCTGAGGCTGACTGCCTTATAGTACTAGGGCTTCAGGCACATCTTCCACTCAAATGCCTCAAATACTGAGTCAGTGCTACTGTGGCTGAAGTTCATTGCTGTATAACGTAATCAAACTTTACAAACAGGACAGTTAAGAAATAACTTTATGGAGACAACATAAGAAAAAGAGACATACAGAAAGCATTAAGGGAAGACTTAGGCTTTACTAGCTTTTGAGAGTTTTGGTGCAAGAAGTTGAATTAAGCTATGTGCAAAGCAGAAGAGAAATGGCAGAATTACATATTTTAAGGTAAGACAATAGGGAAAAGGTACAAGAAGGAATAGAAGAGAAGGGAAAACGTAAGACTGTTTTTGTAGCCTTTTTGACAGTTATTTTGTTTCTTAAAGAAGAACATACAGACATCAATAATTCCTTTTGCTAAATTTTTCTTTAACTGTTGAATGCAGAATTTAACAGCAGTATCAGTATCTTAAGCTGTGCCTTCTGATCATCCTGAGAAAAAAAATAACTTTCCACCTTTACCTGTCACATACAAGCTATCACTTGAACATTGTTATAGGCGGTAGGAAGATCCTGCATTGTCTATAGATAGACTCAGAACTTAAAGCTATTGAGAAATTGTTTTAATGAGTCATTACTCATCTAAAGAACCCAAATAATAAGCTGTGTGAATATTCCTGGCAGACTCCACTTTCAGAGTAAAACACCATAGCCATGATGGAGGTAGTTTCTGTAGGTCTCCTGTTAGGTCTCCAGACCACCAGTATACCTATTTCACTTCTACTTGCCATGAGCTGTATTCACATCCATATTTATTCCACTCTAAGGACTCTGTGTCTGTGCATCACTTACTCTTGCCATTCTGGATTTTCTCTCTCTGCAAACAATTATGTATCCTCCTGAGCTTTCTTCCTCTCCTTGTTTAGGAGTTGCTTTCATATCACAGTTTCAAATGTCCTCCCCATTTCTCTTCATCCAGTCCAGATCAGTGCCCTGTATGGCAAGATCTCTGTCATTTCCTCCAGTTCTAGGAACTGTGTGTCTTTGTTCCTTGCAGTCCTCTTTTTCTTCTTAATATATCTGATGTGAAATATGTGTGTTTTGTCGTTCTGGGAAGTAGAGCAGAAATGAGCCTTCCTTGTGCTAGGGGGTGTTAAAAGATGCTATCTATGATCTTCTTGTTATTTGCCCTTTAACAATTATGCTCCATAATTGTTCCATTTCTCCATTTTCCTTCCCCTGGATTTCCAATTTCCCCCAAATCCATGTAGTTTTGCCTATTTATGCACAGAACGCTTCAATAATTAAAGAGAAGCAAATGTAACCTCTCAAGTGTGGAATCTGTTCAAGAGGTGAGCATGTATGCATAGGCCTTAGATCCATGCTGCCTCTTCAAGCACGATGTCTTCTGGTTGCCTGTGGTTAAAGGGTACCACTGAGAGAACCCTTTCTCTGAAGACGTTCGAATTTTGATGGTTTTAGCCCTTTTACATTTAACCCATTTTTCATGGAAGCATGTTCCAATAGTTAATTTTGAATACTGTTGCATTTATGCCTTCCCACTTGAGTTTTTTTGGTGTAAGCCTGTAGCAATTTGTCCTTGATTTATGTTTGTCTGTTCTGCCAAAAAAAAAAAAAGTCTATTCAGTACTTTCTTCTCATGAAGATTGTTCTACCTAGTTGTTGATAAACAAAACAGTTTGTCAAGAACCTGTCTTGTCTTGTAAATCATTTTGTCCATTTTGCTTCCATATGTAGTGTTTCTGTTTTTCCTCTGTTTTTTTACGTTCTTACAAATGCGTTATTTCAATATTTGTTTCAACATTCTAAAAAAAAGGGAAAAATCACCTTCCAGTTTCAGTTTATTTCTGCTTGTACATCAACAAACTACCATAGCAGTTTTCTCCTCTCTGCCGTACCATGAACATGTGTTCAGTTTCTTTGTTGTGAAACCCAAATCATTCTGGATTCATGACTTTCCAAGATCCATCTTTTTGGTTTCTAAGCTTGGCACAAACTTCTTATTCAGTGTTAAATGCAATTTGTTTGAATGGGCCTGATTCATCAAGCAAATCCATCCCTATTCATATTATTATTTCGCAGTCATCTTTGTGTGATCTGTGCATCTTTTTTCCCTCGACAAGCACTAAAAAAATAAGCATAGCTCAATTCTGTGATACGTTATTTTAAACAATTTATTTTACATTCTTTCTTAGTATTTTATTGGTCTTTAATTCTTCCGAAGTTGTTTCGTATATTATCCTTATACAACATCATTCTATTTCTGTTATTTTTTTAGAGATTCATTGAGCAGAATAAGTAGACTGTTTTAAGAAAGGATATACCTGAGTTTCTACATGTCTTCCTTAGGTGTTGAGTATTTTTTTTAGCTTCATAGCTCTGGCTTGTTATTATGTCTAGATAAATTTTGAACAAGAAATACTCTAATACTGCAGCTGAATTTCTGTTAGTTTTTTCATACACAGAATAAAATAAATATTATTTCTATAATTAATCTATGGCCTTGTTCAACCAGCATTTCTCTTTCTAACTTTCTCTTTTTCTGCTGTTGTCAGTCATGAAATATCTGTAACAGTCTTGCATTGGATCCTTAATAATGTCAGACTTTAAATAGTGGTAAGAAATTGACTGAATTTTACTACTGCGTACAAGTATGTTCAAATTTTTGCTATAAGAATTAATATAAACATTATTTTCCTATTAAGTATTTGTCTCCTACTGTTGCTTTGTGCTTTTTGCAAAATTTGCATCTCCAAAGAGATACCGTATTAAATATATTTGTATATTTCTAGAAATACTTGAATTTGCCAGGAGTAATATGAGTTTCTGTGACATATTTCCTAAAGAAAGTAGTAACACTGACTTTACTTGTGTGTATGCAGATTTTGACTGTTTTTATGGTTCATGGTAAAAGATTTTATCAGCCTTCTTTCAGTTTAACGGAAGTTTTATGTAGGAAATATACTACAGAATTAGATCAGCT